TCCTGCTGTGCTGTTCTTGGATAACATCTAAATTCAGCTCACAAGCTGAAGGCGGCACTGAATTAACCGGGGGAGAAGGAGATGAACGACAGAAAGGTGTTCAGAGTTCTAAAGTTGTTGAGCAGTCAGGCCAGCAAGGAAGTGGAACTATCACTATCTCCTTAGCAAGTGCAGGGCACACATTAGATGGAGCTGAAGTGGATCTTGTTCTGAAACCTCTTCGCCTTGCATTTGAGACTAAGAATTTGAAAATTCTAAATGCTGCTTTGGATTGTATTCATGTATGTCTTCACTTTCAATTGTATTTATTCATTTCATGTTTCTGTCTGTCACTTATATATCTTTATTTCCAGTATATTGCTTCTTACTAGTTCTTCTTTCTTTCTTTCTTTTTTTTGGCAAGCCCAGAAACTCATTGCATATGATCATCTAGAGGGGGATCCTGGTCTGGAAGGGGGCAAAAACTCTGCACCTTTTACAGATGTCCTGAACATGGTATGCGGTTGCATTGACAATTCATCTCCAGACAGGTATGTACTTGTTTTTTGTCATCTTGTTGAGATACTGCTCATACTTATTCTGATTTGAGGAGAATTGTGCAGTACTGTACTTCAAGTGCTGAAGGTTCTTCTTACAGCTGTTGCTTCAGCAAAGTTTAGAGGTATGCTTCTGATCCAGAGGGAGACTGTTTTTCGATTTGCTGTGGGCAAGGAACAAATGGGCCTCGATTTCATTGCTAAAGCACTTACAAGTTCATATCTCCATATAGTGTGCATACAATACCATATATAACCTTATAAATCCATTTTGGATGTAGTGCATGGCGAACCATTGCTGGGAGTTATCCGAGTTTGCTATAACATTGCTCTGAACAGGTAAACTGTATCTCCTTTCTGTTACTGAATCCTGTGTTGATCATTTGGGTCGTAATAAGTGAATGCAGTTTGTATGTGTAGCAAGAGCCCAATAAACCAAGCAACTTCGAAAGCAATGTTATCTCAGATGATAAGCATTGTATTCAGAAGAATGGAGACAGACATTGTAAGGAGTTTGAATTTCTCAATGTTGCATTAGTGTTACGGGGAATGCATGAAAATCAAGTAAAATTTCTATGAACGTGTTGTTGACATTTGAATGGATATTTAGGTCTCTGATTCATCCTCCACGTCTGCTCAAGAACCTGTTTCCATTGACAGTTCGAGCTCAAAAATTGAAGAAATTTCTTTCACTGACCAAAATGAGAAAGAAATGACTATAGGAGATGCTCCTGATCAGGCCAATGACACAACTTTTGCTTCTGTTGAAGATTTGCATACCCTTATAGGTGGAGCTGACATTAAGGTTGGTCCTATCCTATATTTTTAAGCCTTTCCGTCTTTCCAGCGGTGACTATGGCAACTGCATTGGAGGTTTATAGTGCTTTTATGAAAGAAGTGCGAAAAGGATTTCTGTAAAAGTTTCTTTTTTCTTTTGTAGCATTCTTTCTATCAAGGACTCTCTTTTTGTAACTGGTGTTTATCTCTGCCATTTGTCTTGCAATGCTTGCTAACAACTTCTCTTTTAAGCACTATAGTGTCTCAGTAGCTTTTTTATGTTTCTCTGTCTTAAATATTAGCCAGAGAGACAACAATATGCAGGCTAGGACAAGTCTTTCTGGGACAATTTTCTGGTTTTCATGTTTCCTTTTGTGCTAGTTTGTTTTTGGGCACCCCTCTTCTGTAGTTCAAAATTTGTGGTTTCTGCTGTTTATTGAGTAGTTAATTCTATGACCAGGGTTTAGAAGCTGTACTTGATAAAGCTGTGCATATTGAAGATGGAGAAAAGATAAAACGGTATGGCTCATTGCTCTCTGTTCACTTGACGTATTTCAATTTATATGTTGCTCCAGTATATTGCTTCATAACGATTATCTATCTGTAAATCGTTATGCATACATATGCGTGCATATGTGTATGCTTATGATACATATAAACCTGCATACATGCATGTGCATACTGCATACACAGGTTCCTATCTGCATGTACTATTTAATCCTGTAGGTTTAAGTTTTTTCTCTGCATCATTTGAATCTTTGGACTTAACTAATTTTGATTCAGGGGCATTGACCTTGAGAGCATGAACATTGGACAGCGTGATACATTACTAGTATTCCGCACCCTTTGCAAGGTTTGCTTTCTATATATCCTGTCATTTTTTACTTGTCTATCATGTTATTAGGGTTTCTTTGACGCACATTTTAAATGCGGTATCAGATGGGTATGAAGGAAGATAGTGATGAAGTTACAACCAAGACCCGTATATTGTCTCTAGAGCTTCTTCAGGTGAGCTTATTTATAGAATCTGAAGGTTGATCTGTATGTCTGTTTAGTCAAGTCTTTTATAACACACTAGAGCACAAAAATTATGCGTCTGTTATAAACTTGAGTATTTTTGCATGCATATATGTTTGCTGTTTCCAGTTGCTTCCTGTCTAAATGTTTGAAAATACTTTTCTTTCTGTCGTAATCTGGAATTTTATCAGAAATATTTTGCTTGCATTACTTCTTAGTTGTAAGTTTGAGGAAGGCCCATGATTGTTCACTTTGCCTCTCCTAGAGCTCAAATATAAGAAAGAAAGAATAGTTTCTTTTTTCCTTACAGGTTCTTTCATATCGTTTTGTTTGACAATTTGTTCTTTGTAATTTTTCCTCTCATTTTCAGGGTTTGCTAGAAGGAGTCAGTCATTCGTTTACGAAGAACTTTCACTTTATTGATTCGGTGAAAGCCTATCTTTCGTATGCTTTGTTGCGGGCTTCTGTCTCTCAATCTCCTGTCATATTTCAGGTTTATTTTAACCAACTAATTTTCGTCACTTCAATTAGATCTTTGAGAGTTCTATTAGAATGTTCTGTCTCACTGGGAGTCTTGCTTCTTGCAGTATGCATCTGGTATCTTCTCAGTGCTGTTACTGCGATTTAGAGATAGTCTGAAAGTAAGCATGTCATAGCTCCAGTTTAAAAATCCATATTTGTGTGGTGATATTTTTATATGTACCTATATCTTTTCTGATCTTAAATTTCTGTATCAGGGTGAAATTGGAATCTTTTTCCCCATCATTGTCCTGCGATCATTAGATAGCTCTGAATGTCCCATTGACCAGAAGACGGGAGTCCTCAGGTACAATGCTTATTCTACCTGTCCAGATATTTCAGGCGTTAATGATAATATTTCTTAAACAAAACTTTACGGATATGACAAGTCTTGCTATGAGTAATGCTTTTACAGGATGCTTGAGAAAGTCTGTAAAGATTCTCAGTTGCTTGTCGATGTATATGTAAATTATGATTGTGATTTGGAGGCACCGAACTTGTTTGAGCGCATGGTATGGCCTACATTATTTTTCAATATGATAAGTGAGTGACGTATGCAGGTGATGTTTATGTCATGCATAATAGATTATTTGCTTTGCTTTTATTCTAGGTAACAACACTCGCAAAAATTGCACAAGGCACTCAAAGTACTGATCCAAATCCAGCTATTGCTTCGCAGACAGCTTCGGTCAAAGTTTCATCCCTGCAGGTAGGGATCAAGTTATGTTTGCTATACCCGTATTGAGGAAGTTATTTTATTAGGATGACTATCTTTTAGTTTATGTTTTCATATGAAATATTAATGACCAATTGATAGATCCTTTTTCTTTAATATTTCCAGTGCCTTGTCAATGTTCTTAAATCCCTGGTTGACTGGGGGAAGTCGAGGAGAGAGGAAGAAAATAAATCGAGACATGCAAAAGAAGACACCGGTTCATCTGGGGAACCGACTGAAACCAAAAGCAGGAACGATGTCCCAAGCAATTTTGAGAAGGCCAAGGCTCATAAGTCCACAATCGAAGCTGCCATCTCTGAGGTTATTCTTCAGTACCCTGATGCATTGTTAACTTGTGGCAACATACTTACTATAGATTATCATGTTGCAGTTCAACAGGAATTCAGTGAAGGGTGTGGAGTACCTCATAGCAAACAAGTTAGTTGAAAGGGATCCTACTTCAGTTGCCCAGTTTCTGAGAGATACATCAAGTCTGGACAAGGTGGAATACCAACACTTTTCAAGATTATTATTTTCAGTATTTATTGGTATAATGTAACTCGTTTTCATATACACAGGTTATGATGGGAGATTATCTGGGCCAACACGACGAGTTTTCACTTGCTGTCATGCATACTTATGTTGACTCAATGAGTTTTTCAGGGATGAAGTTTGATACTGCCATTCGTGAATTTCTTCAAGGTTTTAGACTTCCAGGGGAAGCTCAAAAAATTGATCGCATTATGGAAAAGTTTGCAGAGCGGTAAGGATTCCCTGCATCTTGTGATCCCTAAGAATCATTTCTTTTAGTACAAACATGTAGACATGATCATATGATTGCTGTCACACGAAAGATTCACACATCTGTGGACAATACAGTGCCAAACATATAAGCATTTTGAATGGAACAATCACATATATTTGACTGTCTTATTTTCTTGTCGCATTAATAACTGTCTTTCTTTTTTTGTCAATGTTGTCTCTGTAGATATTGTGCAGACAATCCAGGTCTTTTCAGGAATGCAGATACTGCTTATGTGCTAGCATACGCAGTTATTATGTTGAATACGGATGCACATAATCCAATGGTCTGGCCTAAAATGTCAAAATCAGATTTTATTCGTATGAATGTTACAAATGATCCTGAAGATTGCACCCCAACTGAACTTCTAGAAGAGATCTATGATTCCATTGTAAAGGAAGAAATTAAGTTGAAAGATGATGGTATCAAGACATACAGCAGCCAAAGGCCAGGAGGAGAAGAAAGAGTTGGTCTTGTTGGCATTCTTAATCTGGCTTTGCCAAAAAGTAAATCAGCAGCCGATGCTAAGTCTGAGACAGAGGATATAGTTAGGAAAACACAGGAAATTTTCCGGAAGCAGGGAGTGAAAAGAGGAGTCTTCCACACTGTAGATCAGGTCGAAGTTATAAGGCCATTGGTAGAAGCTGTTGGGTGGCCTCTGCTAGCAACTTTCTCTGTTACAATGGAGGTAGGTGATAACAAACCAAGAATCCTTCTCTGCATGGAGGGATTTAAAGCTGGGATTCATATCACTTATGTTCTTGGAATGGACACGATGCGCTATGCTTTTCTAACATCGCTTGTCAGGTAAATGTGTTACAGTTCTTTCCTGTCTACCTCTTCTGCTTTAATGTTGCATAGATTTTTTTGTTGATGTGTTTATTGTCTATTTTATGATTTTTGTGAGTTATTTATTGGCGTTCACTTTGAATCTTTGACTGCAAACTTTATCAGACAAAGCCCACAGCATGTTGACTGTTTTATTCGAATTTTGCTACAGATTTACTTTCTTGCATGCGCCAAAACAAATGCATAGCAAAAATGTTGAAGCATTGCGGACATTGCTTGCTTTATGTGATGTGGAGCCTGATACCCTTCAAGACACTTGGAATGCTGTCTTAGAATGTGTTTCACGGCTTGAATACATCATTTCAACTCCGGGCATTTCTGCAACAGTTATGCATGGATCAAATCAGATCTCTAGGGATGGTGTTGTTCAATCGTTGAAGGAATTAGTTGGGAAACCAGCTGAACAAGTTTTTGTTAACAGTATTAAGCTGCCCAGCGACTCAGTTGTGGAGTTTTTTACTGCTCTTTGCGGTGTTTCAGCTGAAGAACTAAAACAGTCTCCTGCCCGTGTTTACAGCTTGCAAAAGCTTGTCGAGATCAGCTATTACAATACGGCTCGTATTCGGATGGTACTCTTCTGATCATTCTCTATCGTACTTTTACTTATTATTGGCTATAAGGTTTTTTATTCACAGCCACACAGCTGGTGCTGTATCCTTACACCTTGTGCAACTTTAGAATGTGCCAATCCAATTCGAATGTCAGAATGTTAACAAGAAGTGAAGCAGTACACATTCCCAAGTTTTTGGGTGTACATTATAGCTTTTGAATAGCTCTAGGTTGTCCTTTGAGACGGATGTACCACTATACCAAGTCTTACCCTGGCTCCTTGCCAACAGAGTAGTAAAGGGCCAATGTGTTTCTTTAGCTATATGTGCACACAGTGGTTCAAACAGTGTGCAGATGTACTTATTTGGTGTATGCTCTTGTGAAATATACCAGGTTTGGGCAAGAATTTGGTCTGTACTTGCAAAACATTTCATTTCTGCTGGTAACCATCACGATGAAAAGATTGCAATGTATGCCATAGATTCGCTGAGACAGCTTGGTATGAAGTATCTGGAACGTGCCGAGCTCACCAATTTCACTTTCCAAAATGACATTCTCAAGCCATTTGTCATTATCATGCGGACAACTCGAAGTGAGACTATAAGGAGCCTGATTGTTGACTGCATTGTTCAAGTATGTTAACTTGCTTAAACTTATCCAAATTTTGGAAGACGAATACATTTTGTTGTTTTCGTTCTTGCGTGGTGTGCAGTTAAAGTTTGAGAAGCTAATGATCTTTCTTTTTTTTTTCCCATTTCAGATGATAAAATCTAAAGCTGGTAGTATTAAATCTGGATGGCAGAGTGTCTTTATGATATTCACTGCAGCGGCAGATGATGAAGTTGAATCAATTGTTGAAAAATCATTCGAGAATGTTGAACAAGGTTACAAACCATCTATCAAAATCTTGCATTTGCATCCTTGTTTCAGTGGCTTTTCTCGTTATTTCTTTACCAGTCAGTTTATGTACCCTCTTGCAGTTATTCTGGAACACTTCGACCAGGTGATTGGTGATTGTTTCATGGACTGTGTTAACTGTCTCATCAGGTTTGGCAATAACAAAGCTTCTCATGCAATAAGCTTGAAGGCTATTGCTCTTCTCAGAATATGTGAGGATCGGCTTGCAGAGGTATGTCAGTGAAATGATGATTGTCACTCCATGCTCTGAATACAAGCCAAATATGGTTTCACATCGAGCGTTTCTTTCTATTTGTTGTTTTATAAAAATCTATACTCCACGCCTTTTTCCTTTTGTGCCTACAATTTTTTGCAACATCTAGATTCCACCATTTCTTGCTACTTGGCGCAACCACATATTCTTGTTGCTATAGCCTCCTGGACCTTCTACTTGATTTCACTGACTGCTTCACCTCCGTTTGCAATCTCTACGTAATCATCTTTGCTCATATACCTAATGTATATCGATTTTCAGGGACTTATACCTGGTGGTACGCTCATGCCAAAAAATGCCAATGCAGATGAAACTTTTGATGTGACAGAACATTACTGGTTCCCCATGCTAGCCGGTTTATCCGATCTTACATCAGACTTACGGCTCGAAGTTAGAAACTGTGCCCTCGAGGTGTTGTTTGATTTGCTGAATGAAAGAGGCAAAAAGTTCTCGAACGCCTTTTGGGAGAGTATCTTCCATCGTATCTTGTTTCCGATTTTTGATCATGTGAGGCACGCTGGCAAGGAGAGTTTGATATCTTCTGGGGATCTATTATTTCGGGAAACAAGCATTCATTCGCTCCAGCTCCTGTGCAATCTTTTCAATACATTTTACAAGGTCCCAACAGATAGTTTTTTTTCCTTCTTTTCCCCATGTTTGAGGAACCCTTTTTCCGTTATTGCCTGAATAAATGTCTGACATGCTGCAGTACGTAATGTCTGCCACATGAAACCATATGAAGGATATAAATTACATTAACATGCAACTCGTGGAAACATTTGGAAAATTGACCATCTGCTTTTTGCCTTTGGAGCAGGAAGTTTGTTTTATGCTGCCTCCCCTTTTGAGTTTGCTGTTGGACTGTGCGAAGAAATCGGATCAGACAGTTGTTTCAATTGCTTTAGGTGCATTGGTCCATCTCATAGAAGTTGGAGGACACCAATTTAGTGAGAGTGATTGGGACATGCTCTTGAAAAGCATAAGGTAAGTATCTTGTCATTGCAATCTGATTATGGTTACCAATGCATTGTCTAACGTATTCATTTGACTGCCAGAGACGTATCGTACACAACTCAACCGGTGGAGCTGTTGAATGCTTTGAGCTTTGACAGTACAAAAAAGAATATTGTCCTAACGGGAAATATAGAAGCTGATGCTTCTGATGTCTCGATTGACAGTCATCCACGTGACAGCAAAGATAATGGAAATGTTTCCAAACAGGGTGGCACTTCCCTACTGTCTGGGTTACAGCCCAATTCTGACGGTTCTGAAGGTTGTCTCTCACTTCCATGCTATTGAATTCTGCATTTCATGTAGCACTATTTGTCTCCTGAAAATAATTGCTATTGAAACAAAAAAGTGTCTTGGTTGGTAAACTGGTTTAAAGGATAATGTTTTTGTAAGATGAATTGCAATTGACTTTCCCGCTTCCCTTAAAGGTCTTCCATCTCCATCTGGCAAGGCTCAAAAGGATGCGGAAGCAGGGAATGTCCAACAGAGTCAGACTTTCGGTCAAAGAATCATGGGCAATCTCTTTCTCAGGAATCTCTCGTCTAAACAAAAAACCCCGACTGCGGATTTATCTGTACCTTCCTCTCCTGCCAAGGTATTATGCATGTTCACAATCCCAAACTTGTATTCAATTTGATCTATTTATTTGATTCGGCTATTTTTATATCATATCTTGATTCAAGGTCTATTTGTGACCCTTTTCTGGCTACGAACACCCAAATTTTAACATTAGGGTGAAGGGTGTGTTTTCCTAATGTTGATGTATCTGATGACCTCTTTTCATTGTGTATTCCATGGAACTTATTGCCGATCATTTCCTTCTTTAGCTTGTGGATTCTACTGAGCCTGATGACAGAGAGGAAGAGGAGAATCCATCACTGGGAATTATTAGGGGCAAATGCATAACACAGTTATTACTACTTGGTGCTATAGATAGCATCCAGGTATTTGGTTTTTTCTTTGCTTCACATTAGTGTACAGTCCTCTTAATCATTTGCTTTCTCATCATTATGTAGACCTATTAGGATGTTATTTTATAGATGCAGCTTGCTGAATAACAGATGTATCCTTTTTTTGTGTGTTTCCTTAATTCCGCAGAAAAAATACTGGAGCAACTTGAAAGCACCGCAGAAGATTGCCATCATGGACATCTTATTTTCTTTCATAAAATTTGCTGCCACTTATAATTCATATGCTAACCTCCGAATACGTGTGAATCAAATTCCTGATGAGAGGTTAGTAACAAAGCTTTTGAACTTAGCTATGGATAGATTCTTCTCCGGCTTGCATATAGTTGAATAATTCATCCTATACAGGCCACCTTTGAACCTTCTCCGGCAAGAGCTGGCAGGAACCACCATATACTTTGATGTCTTGCAAAAGACAACCTCGAGGATTGCTGATGTCGTCTCTGATGCAGAAGATCAACTAAGTGGTTTAGCAGAAGAAAAATTAGTGGCATTCTGTGAACAGGTACTGAAAGAAACATCAGATCTCCAGTCCACTTTAGGGGAGACCACAAATATGGATGTTCATCGGGTACTGGAGCTGCGTTCTCCCGTGATTGTCAAGGTACGATACTTCGATAATGATTATCATGGCCGGCATTGTAGGATTTTGTATTTTCATTATTTCCGTGTTTCTCTCCCTCTCGTCGCTTTGATTGATATCCAATGTTAATATGATCCAGAATTTTTGCTTCCATTTTCTTCCAGGTTCTCAAAGGCATGTGCTTCATGGATAACAGAATTTTCAGAAAACACATGAGAGAGCTGTACCCTCTGCTTACAGATCTTGTGTGTTGTGAACAGGTAAGCACCTGATATTACATTCTCAAGGCACGTTGAGACTTTAATTTATAGCTCTAGAACTATATTCTCTATTCTAATAATCGGAGTCTAGTCTAAACAAATTGTTTTCGATATGAAAATATGATTTGCACACATACATGCAAGCCTGGAGTTAGGGCTGGACAGAGACCCAAAATTTCGAGTATCCGCCCGACCCATGCATGAGTCGCATACCCAAAATGTTTTTGGTACTCATCCACCACTGGCGAAATCCTTAGTATAACCCAAAATAAGGAAACCCTAATCTCACCCTCCGTGGCTGTGCCCCCTCATACCTACACCCTTGCGGCCCCTCCTGGCACTTGCCTCTTTGGTTTGGGTACCTGCATGACATGGCTAATCTCCGGTCAAAACTTGAACTCAAACCCGGATGTCGGGTTTTCGCTAGTTGCCAGACCCGTACTCGTCCCGCTGGTGGTTGATGTGAGTACACACAATTTAGGGTACCCGTGGGGTACCCGAACCACGGGTCGGGCGGATACTCGAAATTTCGGGTCTCCTGTCCAGGCTTGGAGAGTAGAAGTCGTTATATACATTACTGGAAGCTGTATTCACTTATCTTAGCAGGACTAGTCTAACGATTTTTAACTAGGATAAGAAATGTCTAATGCTTCTTTTGTATATTTCCCTTGTTTTGATTTGACAAAATCTAATCAGATGGGCATCCGAGGTGCACTTGCCGACCTTTTCAAAGCACAATTGAAGCCAATGTTGCATTAGCAAATCTTTCTCAGTTGGAAATTTACGAGAGTCGGCTCTCGAATTGCCGTATAACAGGTCCCGTTCTTTTCCATATCGGTTTCTTCGGCCTATAGTATGTTCATCCTTCCGATACAGGAATCAGTTTGTGACATGAGATTGTTTTCCCTCGTCGTATGGGATGCGAGTTGAGAACTGAAAACCTCAATTTTGGACGGAATTTTGTGGCCCTTGAATGAGAGAGCTATCTATGTATTGGCCGATCGGCGAATGTAACATCAAATACCCAATTGGTTTTAAAAAATGAAAACTTTGGTGATTAAAAGTTTCAGAAATATTATTGGATGCTTTCGTGAAAATCAGTTGGGCATTTGTTGTTATATTCGCCCCAAAAAGTTGGAAGCATTTCGATTTCTTTGCCAAAACCTCGCACAAAAAAAATGGTTACGTGCTTGCGATTAGGGGTGGACACGGATCGGATATCCGCGATTTTTGAGATATCCATATTCGATCCGCATAAATACTTGATTTTATTATCCGTATCCGATCATCGCAGATATTTACGAATATCCGTATCCGACATAAAAATTATAAAAATTAAATTCAAATTTAAATAACAATTTTAAATATAAAAGAAAATATATAAATTATTTAATATAAAATGTTGTTCACAATTTAAAATTCATAATTTAAATATTTTAAATCAATTCAAATACAAATATAATCATAATCTATTATATACAAATATATTGAAAGTTCAAAATTCAAAAATTAAACATAATAAATTTTAATATTCAAAAGATTAAATATTCTAAATCTCAATATATACAAAATATTTCTTGAATATACATATAAAATATATAAGTATAAAACATTTTAAAATTTTATAGCAAATTATTTTTATATTTAATAATATTATTAATTAGTACGGATCGGATCGCATATGTCGGATAATTCGAATTTGGTACCCGTATCCGATCCGTATCCGACAAATATTTCAAAATAAATATCCGTATCCGATCCGTAAACTCCGGATATCCGAATTTTCGATTCGGATACGGATCGGATAATGGATCGGGTAGGGTTTTTTGGATATTTTGATGCCCACCCCTACTTGCGATGAATGCTTCAGAAATTTTAGGCTGTTCACTCAAATCATGAGACCCATTTTTCTTTTCACTTTTTTTTTAAAAAAAAATTGCTTGATAAGATTGATTTTTTTTTTTTGAATTGTTAAATAGATTTATTCCGCCAGAAAACATGAAAAGGAAGAGGAAAAAGAGAGGAACTTTGGTATGCGAATTTATAAAGGGTGACATTTTTTTTTTCATTGGAACAGTTCATAAGATTCTATGAAGTAAAAAGTTTGACGATCAATATTCTTAGTCTGTCCAAGAAAACATTCTTGTTGGCTCATTCCTTTCTTGAGGCCTCTCTCCCGTGCCTCTTGCCTAATTATTATGTAGCAAATTCTATTATCGAATAAAAAGTTAAAAAGTTAAAAAGTTAAAATTATATATAATTAATATTAAATTTTATTAATTTAATGTTGAATGATTAGTATTAAACTTAGCCGTGTTGATACGTCAGCGTTATTAACCTAAATCCGCTTGAATCAATGCCTAAACATTTTTTAAAAGCTATTCTTGCTTCTTCTTCTCCTTTTTGGCACATGTTATCCAAAAGCTGCATGAATTGTAATTATGAAGTCCAATGATTTTGAAGCTAAGGATATGTTTTCAGACCCCAAAATTTATTTGAGATGTCCATCAATATATGTAATCTCAATCCATGTATTTATAAAATAATATATAACATGAATATCATCAATCTATCCCTCCATATTGAGTTCTCCTACCACATGGAATCAAGTTCCTTTTTGAACCTTCCATGCAATTCCTTTCCTTTTCCCACCTCCTTCCATATACCCATCTTCCCAAATTCCTCCACCAATCAACTCATCTCTACTTACATATATACATACACATATATATACACACACACACAAATGAAACATACATAAGTTTGTATATATCAGACCCCGCCATCTGAATCAGACAAATTCATTCCACATACATAGGCAAAACAAAAACATAAAAAAAAATGGGTAAGTATGATGATATTTGCCAAAGAGTATTGTTCTTATGCCTATCCATTGTTCTATTGCTCCACAATGGCGTCGAGGGCTTGGCATGTAACTGGGGGCTTCAAGCCAGTCACCCTCTCCACCCTGATATTGTCGTCAAACTCCTCAGAGACAATGGCTTCAACAAGGTTTATACGTATTCTCTTCTCTTCCAATACAGATTTTGTAATTCACCATCGTATATAAATTTCAACTTTCTAACATATAATTTGCATTTCGTAAAAAAAAAAAAAAAGGTTAAGCTGTTCGAGGCCGATCCAGGTGCCCTTAGGGCTCTTGGGAAGTCGGGTATCCAAGTAATGGTCGGTATCCCTAACAACCTTATGGCCAACCTCGCCTCCACTGTCACCGCGGCCGAGCTCTGGGTCCAGCAGAACGTCTCTCAGTACATCTCTAGATATGGCACCGACATCAGGTAACATCACTCTCTCACAATCTAAGTCTCAATTCGGTTTCGTCTCCACGGGTTTTATAGCTGAAATATCTCGATCTCGGGACTCGAATACCACAAATGATGGTTGGATACCCACGGATACTCGAACCCGCAAAAACCTACAATTTTTGTTGTTGATATAAATTGATACTATCGAGAGTATAATTAATGGAAAAATTTATAAGATGATATGTCTAAATGTTATTGCAATTAATTATTCTAAAATATCAAGGGTATAAACGTCATTTGGACATCGGTGATATCCGGGCAAGACACGGTTTTTGATTGTTCATATCATTTCAGTGATGGTTTTTGGTTTGGTTGGAAAATAATTCAGGTACGTAGCCGTGGGGAACGAACCGTTCCTGAAAACATACAAAGACAAGTTCATGCGGTCAACGTTCCCGGCGATACAGAACGTGCAGGCGGCTCTGGTGAAAGCAGGACTGAGCCGACAGGTCAAAGTCACCGTCCCCCTCAACGCCGACGTGTACGAATCCGGCAACGGCCTCCCTTCCTCCGGCGACTTCAGATCCGACATCAAAACCCTAATGGTCTCCATCGTCAGATTCCTCGCCGATTCTGCGTCTCCCATCACTTTCAACATCTACCCTTTCCTCTCCCTCGACGCCGATCCCAATTTCCCTCGCGACTACGCCTTCTTCCCCAACGGGTCCTCGAACGGAGCGAAACCGGTGGTGGATGGGTCGATTTCTTACACGAACGTGTTCGACGCGAACTTCGACACGCTGGTGGCGGCGTTGGAGAAGAACGGGTTCGATCCGAACAAGGTCGAGATCATCGTCGGAGAAGTTGGTTGGCCCACCGACGGCGGCCGGGATGCCAACCCGGCCTTGGCTCAGAGGTTCAATCAGGGCTTGTTGGATCGTATTCTTCAGAAGCAAGGCACCCCCAGGCGCAGGTCAGCTCTCCCTCCTCCAATGAATTCCAGCAAGGTTTAAAACTTTATAAAATTACAAATAAAAGCCATATATCAAAATATGAAATCGATAAGAAATATAATCGATATCAAAATAAAAACCATATATTATGAATCGGTTCGTGTGTTTGGTAGGGTGGATTATTCGGATTCGGTTCGGTTATTTTAATTTTAAAAAAATTATAATCGTTTGGTTTTTATATTGAATTCGGTTCGATTAGATTACAACAAAAGTATTCATTTTGTTAAAAAAAAATACAGTTTAATTTTTTGACTATTTTTTATTTGGTTCGTCTAGAATTAGAGAATTCTTTTTTTTTTCGATTTTAGAGAAATCATAATTATTAGATTTTATATCGAATTGTGTTCAACTATAAACCTATAAAATAATTATAAACTATATATGCCATCATATTTGCACATTAATCTCTACATTTTTAGAAGATATGATTTAGACTCCAAAACTTATTAAGATCATATATAATTGCTCCAATTAAATATTATGACATGCATAATACATGTTGGTCCGTCGTATGAATATGAAAAATAATCCAATAAAAAGAATATTCGTTTGTTTCTTTTTTTTTTTTTACTAACAAAAAAATAATCTCGGACCATGGTCCGTGGACGCAGGATAGCACCGGAGGTATACATATTCTCGTTGATAGACGAAGACAACAAGAGCGTGGAGCCTGGTATCCCTTTTATTTCATTACAAAAAAATCTGAATTATATTCATAAAAAAAAATCTATTTTTTTTTTTCAGAACTAACAAAAAACACAAATTTCCAATAGGGAACTTCGAAAGACACTGGGGAATGTTCGCTTACGACGGAACAGTGAAGTACCAACTAAACCTAGGAAACGGTCGGCAATTGGTTCCGGCCAAAGGAGTGCGTTACCTCACGCGCGAATGGTGCGTCCTCTCGCCACAGGCCGCCTCCTCCCCTTCGGTCGCTTCCTCGTCCGCCTACGCGTGCCAGTACGCAGACTGCACTACCCTCTCCCCCGGATCCTCCTGCTCGGGCCTCGACCCTCTGGCCAACGCTTCCTACGCCTTCAACATGTACTTTCAGACCATGGATCATCGTAGGGGCTCTTGTTTCTTCAACAACTTGACTTTCGTCTCTAGGATCGATCCTTCTGCCGGTTCGTGCCGGTTTCCCGTGGAGATCGATATGGGCAGACACGAGCTGCCTCCTCCTAAGAAGTCGGCTGCAGCCGAGGGGATGGCTCGGTGGTCGTGGCGGTCGATGATAGTTCGGTGTCTGGCCGGCGCTGTGATGGTGGGGGTCACGATGGGTTTGAGTTGTATTTAGTTGGGTGTTTCCGGTTCGGCATTGTAATCAATAGAACAATTTTTTTTTTCTTTTTTTTTCCACAATTTATATAAAAAGGAGGAATTATAAATAATAATTTGTCGTGATAATAAGATAAAATCAAAATAACGGTTCATATGTGAAGGACTAATTAAGGAATAACATTTTTCATGTGTAATTTGGTTTTATTCTCGAGATTATGAAATAGAACTTTGAATATGACGCATACCGACACATGTGACGGGTCTCAATTTTTGATTCAACTCTATCTCGAATTTCAAGCCCGCATTTTTTCTTTATTGATGTGTAAAATGGAAAATGATTTATTTCCCAAAAACATTACGTATAATTTTATATGTGTATAATATCATCACCTTTGGTAATTGATAAGATTATTTAAAATTTTGATATCTATTTATATATATATGTCCTTTTCTAATTTCTATAGGTCCATTGGTTATGTACCTGTTTATACTACTTCAGAGGAATTATATTAGATTTTTCTACTTGTTATTTTCAGTTAATTTTAAATTTTAAAAATTATTAGATTTATTTCTTGTTATTGACTCACTGAATCTTTCTTCTATACGTCTATTTTTTACAAAATAACATTTTCTTCAATTTTCGATATTTTAATTTTAATTCTCTTATTCCTATCAAAATTCTCTTTGTCATGATTCGTTAAGATTCTGAGTCCGAATTAAATTTCTGTAAAAAAAAAATAACAAATATTTCGGCGCATAACAATATCTATCTAATAGCTGCCAGTGCCAATAATTTACTGAAATAATAGAGTTCCATAATCTCATGAAACACCATTTACGCCTTATTAATCCATGTTGGTCCATATTATTATTATTATTATTATTATTTTTTATTTTATTTCTTAAAGAAGACAAGACACCCATTTGTCCTGCTAAGTTTTGTTTCGATCGAATCTATAATATCTATATATCTCTATATATGTATGTATGTAACTAGTCCGTACAAGACAATTTATGAGTCTACAAAAGAAGCGATGTTAGACGTTAGGATGAGAAATTTGCAATTAAAATGTTTTGGGTTTCAAAAGATGATAATTCTTATATTAAGTATATATTTTATGAAAATAATACATTGTATTAATAACCCCTTCTTGGACGGAAATTTATATCTCATTGGTAAAATAATATTTTGTGCTATAAAATTATGTGTATTATCGTTGTCCTTGGCACAATTTTGTGTCGATTTTCTTATTAGGCATTTTTTGAAGGAAAAAAATATGATTTTCCACGAAATTCTTTTCATATGTATACGCCAATAAAAATATATAAATTCTAAAAACATCATTTTATGTCATCAACCGGACAAAATAGCCGTTCAATAACTTCCACATTTTGTATATTTTCTTATTTAATCTCTTACTTTCTTTTGTAATGAAATTTAATTAATTCTTTCCCTTTTACAGGACACTACAATTTGGAGTTCATTTTCGTTTCGAATATAATTAAATTGAATATATATATATATATATATATTAATTTAAATCTAATTTTACATAAATAAACATATCATTTTTTCTAAAATTAAAATAATTGAATTCAAAATCAAATCAAAGCAGAATATAACAATAATATTAATATTATTATCATTAATAATAATAAAAATCGAACTCAAATTGAATCTAATCAAATTCTAAATCGAATTAAAAGTCGAGATATAAAAACCAAACAATTATAATTTTATAAAACAAAAAAAAATCAAACCGAAACGTAATTAATTCGAATCCGGTAATGTCATAACCTTATTCGCAAACCAAACAGGTCATGTGCGCATAATATTCCGTACTTCATACCAAAAATCCTGTCAACTTCCAAGTTCTAATTCGATCGAATATTGTATTTGACAATAGATTAAATCCACTCCACATAATTTCATTTCTTTTTTCTATATATATATATATATATATATGGCCTTACACAAATATAATATCAAAGATGTTTTATCGTAATTCCGGTGTTATTAAAAGCGAGATCGGTCATCTCTTTTATCGGTTTGCAATTAAAATGCCATTAAAAGCTTTTCTCCAAAACCCTAAACCCTCTCTTTTATAAACAAAGCAAAACTCTCACATTCCCTCGAACCCCAAACCATCCCCAAAACCCTAAATTCTAAACCCCAAACCTTAGCTTTTTTTTTTACACAGACATAAAAAAACAAAAGAACCCACCAAAAAATGTCGAAATCCAGACCAAAACCTGTCGTGATGACGATGATGCTGTCTTTGGTAATAACAAACCACGTGTGTGGTCTTGTCTCGGCAAAGGCTGCTGCCACTACTTCTCCGGCCGCTTCGGACAGCACTGTGATGAACGAGTTCTTGACAGTTCCGGCGTCGGAGTTCGTCGGAGCGGCGAGAGCTGCCGTCGAGGCCATGAGAAAAGCCGGAGAGGCTCTGTCCAAGTTTCAGACAAAGATCGGAGATTTCAGGACGTCCAATGCCGTTCTCGATTGCTTGGACCTTCTTGATTTTGCTTGCGATGATCTCTCTTGGACCATCGACGCTTCTAATTACCCCAACGGTAACTACGGATTTATTCATATTATACTGTATATATGTACAAATATCACTTATTAATCAGATCGTCTGAATTTTTTTCCTTCGAAACTTTTATTTAACGAATTTTATTTTTTTATTATATCCCATATAATTTCCATAGGAATTTTATGTTGAATCGGATTCTTACACGCAGAACTAATAGACGAGAAAAAAGGGGATAAAAATATTAAAGGTTTAAATTGAAGAAGCTATCGTTTATAGAACCATTAATTATCGTTGATAATCATAACTATGTGTACGGAAATCAATTATTCGTTTCCCAATTTTTATTTAATGCATTTATTTCCCTTTTTAATTATATTCCGTATATTTTGTAGGAATTTTATGTTGGGACTATTACGCACATAATTAATTGGCAATCATAATTTTTATTTAATTTTCAAGTGATGGATTTCTGGTGTCGGCGATTGCAAAAAATATGCACACACACACACACACACACATATATATATATATATATATATATATATATATATATATATTGTGATTAAAAATTTCTATGAGAGCAAACAACGCAGTGAGTTACATTGTCGACACAGAAATTATTTTTCATAAAGTTTTGTCTGAAATAAATGCAAAAAATCTTGAAAATAAATAAATTTTAAAAACTGTTACATAATTTGTAAAATACTAATTAATATATCATTATATGTACAAATTGAAAATCCCAAACTGAAAAACTCCGATTACATAAATCATTTTCTTTGCATTGTGCAAGTTGTTTTATGTGGTAATATTCAATTGTTGCTTTATTCCATTAATTAAATTGATAATTTCGCCTCCACAAAAAATAAAACAAAAAATCTCAGGCAAAGACAACGGCACGGGGGACATAATCAAAGATCTCAGGATATGGATCAGTGCCGCCTTCTCCGATGTTGACACGTGTCTCGAGGGTTTCGAGGGTACAAATGGAATTATAAAAAATCTCATAACCGGTGGCCTTAACCGGATCGGTCCAATAGTCCGAAATCTCTTAACCATGGTTCACGACAAGCCCAAAACCGGTTCCGGTCATGGTGGTTTCGGCAAATTCCCTTCATGGGTTAAACCCGATGACCGGAAACTTCTCCAATCCGAGGACATTCCAGCGGCAGATTCCGTGGTGGCGGCTGATGGGACGGGAGATTTCACGACGATAATGGAGGCGGTTATGGCCGCACCGGATAAGAGTGAAAACCGATATGTGATATATGTGAAGAAAGGAATATATTCGGAGAATGTAGAGATTAACAAGAAGAAATGGAACATCATGATGATCGGAGACGGAATCGATTCCACCGTGATCACCGGTGACCGGAATTTCATCGATGGTTGGACCACTTTTCGATCTGCCACTTTTGGTAAGTAACAAATTTAAGTTCAATTGCATAAATTTGAAGTCACATATCGGGTTAGATGGTCCGGTTGGGTACTGAAAATAGAACAAACGGTATAAACTAAACCGAAAAAGAATTTAGTTCGCGTTTTTTTTCGATACCACTTTCTGTCAACCTAAATTACTCCTAACCCGAAACGAACCAAAGTAAACCATAATTTCTTTTATTTAAATAGAAGGTCGTTACCGAACCCAAACCAATTTTAACCGGATCTGAAAACAAACCGGAACCAAATTGGTTTTAGGTGAGCTTTATTTTTGTCGAACCCCAACTAAACAAAACCAGGAGCGGTCATTTCATTTCGAGTTTCGATTGGTTTATTTTAGTTTTAAAAAATTATAACAATTTAGTTTTATTTTATATTTGATCCGGTTCAATTTTTGTTATGATTTAGTTCCGTTGGATTCTCTTGATAAATTATTCATTTTCAAAGAAATTCGATCTTTCGATTATTTTTGTATTCGGTTTGAATTCGAGTTTGGCTTCGAGTTTTTTCATTTTAGATAAATCATACATATTCAATTTTTATATCCTATTTTGGTCGGATATGATTTTGATTCGCATTAATATGATATTTCTTAACCGGTTAGACCATTTTCAGCGCGTTTTGAAAATGAATTCCATATTGTTGCAGCTGTGAGTGGGAGAGGGTTCATTGCTCGTGACATAACGTTCGAAAACACGGCCGGACCGGAGAAACACCAAGCCGTGGCCCTCCGGTCAGATTCCGACCTCTCAGTTTTCTTCCGGTGCGCCATGAGAGGTTACCAAGACACTCTCTACGCTCACACGATGCGACAATTCTTCCGAGAGTGCATCATCACCGGCACCGTCGACTTCATATTCGGCGACGCCACGTCGGTCTTCCAGACCTGCCAGATCAAGGCGAGGCAAGGGCTGGCGAACCAGAAGAACATCGTCACGGCTCAAGGTCGGAAGGATCCTGACCAACCCACCGGGTTCTCGGTCCAATTCTGCAACATTACAGCCGACACCGACCTTGTTCCGAACGTAAACAAGACGGTTACTTACCTAGGACGACCGTGGAAGTTGTATTCTCGTACCGTGTTCCTGCAGAACTACATTAGTGAGGCGGTCAGGCCCGAGGGATGGCTCGAGTGGGATGGGGATTTCGCGCTGGATACGTTATTTTACGCTGAGTATATGAACCATGGACCTGGGGCTCGACTCGATAAAAGGGTCAAGTGGCCAGGGTACCGCGTTTTGAACAGCTCGGCCGAGGCTGAGGATTTCACGGTCGGATCGTTCATCGAAGGGAACCTCTGGCTACCGGCCACCGGTGTTAGATTCACTGCCGGTCTCAGCTCCTAAGTGATGGAAATGTATGCAAAATGAATGATATGATATCGGGGTTTTTATATTGTCATTAGCTTGTCCGTGGAAAAGGGTAAGCTTCGGACAAGATTTGGGGAGTAATATTTCGTTCAATGTGATCTAAGCACGGATATTTTGGTCAGTTAACAAGGACCTAAGTTGGTATTTTACTTATTGGTTTTAATTTTCCTGTGAATCCCGTTGATCGTCAAGAGACGGAGATGAATGTGTTGTGTGTGGAGAGACTTCCACACGGTTGCCGTGGGCGGCCTCCGGAAAGGGCAGATCCGTAATTTACGTGGAAGATTAGCATCCGTGTTGTATGATTCGAAAATCGATCCCAAAGCTATCGTCTACGGATATTTCAGTTTCGGAATCCGTAGATAGGACGGAGACGAGAGTGAGTTCATATGTATTCAAAGACAAAGGAAAGATGTAGATTTTCGAATTTGACCATCTATTAAGATACCTCAGTGATTGTCAGCAACTATTTTCTAAACTTGAAAATCCGACTTTTTTCGGGTTATCGAACCCGAACATGATCTATTCCTGTGCGGGTATCTGGTTTTCGGACATCCGACCTGTAACCTTTTCCCGCCTATCCACCGCTCGGTGTTATGGCGAGACAGCATTTCCGGGTTACCAAGACAAGCTATGTGCCGTTACTTGAGACGTCAACTTCTACAAAAGAAAAGGATGTATCTTTACGGAATCGTATATGGATGACGGAGGAAGAAATCAGACGGGTGAATTGGCTTAAAGCTCAGGGGAATGATTTTGGTTTAACGTCGGCGTTTCATATACATATATATATATATATATATATATAGAAAAACATGGTAAGAACATGAAAGAGCCATAACTCTGAACTGCGAAAGAGCAAGAGAACGTGACGGGTTTTTCTCTCTCCCTAAAGAATCTTTATAGTCTTTGAGGGCATGACAAAACAAGATTCTTGCTTGTGTTTTGTCTTGGAAAAAGTTGAAGTCGAAATTTGTCGGATCAGATAGTGAAAAAATAATCTCTTTCTCAGTAATTTAATTTATTTGCTCTCTGTTTTTTTAGACAATGTCGAACCTTGTTTAAGATTTCTAGCCTGCCACAAAGATTAAATTCGTTAGTGCATCACTCTCTCTCTCTCTCTCTCTGTTTTGGTTTGGTTGATTTTTTGTTTCTCTTCACGCTTTTTATTTTTGGGGGGTTTGATGTGAACGCCATAGACTGTAGTTCTTCAGAAAAGGAAAATCTCGGGGTTGCGAAATCGAATGCCTTTTTTTCTTTCCTTTCGATTTCTAATTCTTTTGTGCGTTGTTCGTGGATAAAGGAATAAAATTTCCTGAGGGTCTCCGACTTTATTTCTTTTCTCCAATTAATCATCTGGGTCGCTTTATTTTTACGTGTTCTTATCTGGGTCTGTAGAAATTTCCTTTTTTTTGTCGCGAGTGTCTGCCTCAGGGGTTATATAAATTAGGGTTTTTGATTGATTTCGAGGCGAGTAATCTGTTGATTTGCCTCCAAGTGTTCGTACCCTGATAATCGATCTTCAGGAATAAGCTGCTTTTTCTTTTGATTTTTAGGGTTTCCATTCTATTTGCTGCTTAGATTCTCGATTTTCTTGGGGACTTCCTCTCTATTGTTCTGTCTTCGAGCAGTTCGGTATGTGTTGAATGATGTTTAACGGACAAGGGTTTTCGAGAGATCGATGTAATGTTCTTGCAGTTGTTTGTGATGATAAGCATAAGCAACAAGCACCAGCTAATGAAGATCATCAACGCAGATACCCTTTTCCTGAGCTCTCTTCTTCAGGACGACTCAAAGTGAGAACGATTTCATTTTTCTAAATCCCTTCTGTTGTTTTAGACACTTTTGTTGAATTTGCAGTTGATTATGAATGATGAAAACCAGTTTGATGGGCATTGATAGGTTTCCAGGTATGAACTCACGTTGTTGCTGATTGAGAGAATGGCGTAAAAATTCTTCCAAATTTATGTCTGTTGTTTGGTTTTTGAAGGCTTGTGACCTAAACTTGGCGATTTTTGTTTCTTTGGGCATTATTTATGACTTGTTTTAGGATGTTTCATAGAATATGATTGTGTTAGGATGTCAAAACATGATGGTTTGTGTACTTGCTGGGTTACAGGTTCAGGTCCTGAAAAATCCAAGTCCAGATGAACTCGGGGCTGTTCTTGAATCATCAGCTCCGGAGTTTGTCTACTTGCAAGGGGAGCAGAGGGGAGAGAGTGATGAAGTCGGTCCGTTAGGGTTGGGATATGAACTGTCTACACCCGACACCTTAGTTGGCATATTCGGTTCCATGTTACCAACCACGGTGAGTTAATTTGTTATTTGCATTGTTCATTTATATACTTAACAACTTCTTTTGATCGGCTTTTGGGTTAGCTTGCCAAGCGATGGTAAACCTGCAGTTAGTTTTCTAATGATGGGATGGAAAGCTAACTCTTGCATTACAGGGAGTTTCCTAATAATTACTTTAAACTATTGTTTTTAACAAAGGACTGATTTTTTGTTTTTTCAACTGGCGAATGTTCTTAATATGAGCGCTTGTAAGATCCAATGTGTTGGTAGTTACTTTCTTGTTGACGAGAATTTCGTCTAATTTGTTGTGATATTCTCAACTCAGGTTTACTTGGAGGTTCCAAATGGTGAAGAATTAGCCGAAGCATTGTATTCTAAGGTTGTTCCAATCTCTATTAGCTCTAGTCTCTGTACCTGTCCAGTTTTCCTTTCTTTTCATCTTATTTCTTTGTATCTCTTCCATGCAATTATTTCCATTTATTCGGCTTTACTTTTGAGGTTCTAGATGTTTACCTGTTCTAGATTCTATGGCACCTTCAATTTGGAGGCTGTATTGCTAGTTTTTTTATTCCTGAGCAGAGTTTCTGAAATGGTATTTTCTTCTGGTTCTTATAATTTGTTTTGTGTTGGTTGGTGCTTCACTTTTTGCAGGGTGTTCCATATGTTATCTATTGGAAAGGTGTCTTCTCAAAATATGCAGCTTGCCATTTCCGACATGCGCTATTTTCAGTCATGCAGAGGTATTTGTTACTTTAGTATTTTGGCAAAGTGGTGGAAGGGAATGGAGGATTACCGTTAGGCTAATTTATTTCTACTAATTTTTTCTAATGAATGAAATATTTGTATAAGTGTCACCGCTATACCCGTTTAAGATTTGATGTCATTGAGCATTCTAATGCAATGCAGCTCCTACAGCCATACATGGGATGCATTCAGGCTTGCAGAAGCATCTTTCAGACTGTATTGTACGAGGAACAATGCAGTACTCCTCCCTTCCAATAGCGATCATATAATTAATGATGAGATGAGCCCTTGTTTGCTCGGAGATCCTCCAAAGATTGATGTGGTGTCACTGGGAGCAGATGAACAAGAAGAGGAAAATTCTCTAGAAAATCTCCCGTCGATAAAGATATATGATGAAGATGTAACTGCAAGGTTTCTTTTATGCGGACCGCCATGCATCCCAGTGGGTGTTGATTCCTCGATCTCTTCTCCCATCTCCCCCCTTGACTATGCTTAATTTTTTGTTAATAAATTTCAGTGCTTTAGTACTTTTATGTTATCATTAGCTCAAAGCTAAACTGTCTGCAGGATTCATTCTTATTGGGACCTTTGGAGGATGGGCTCAACGCTCTCTTGAGAATAGAAGTGAGTTCTTTCAGTTAGTATATAGATTTCATCCTTTAGACTTGATTGACATGCACATGGAAAAGCATATATTATGAATTATGTGTATATATATGTGATCAATTCTTTCTAATTGATATTTCATTTATTCTCTTTCACAACTTTCTAGATGCGAGGAAGTAAGCTCCACAATCGATCAAGGTGCTTTCTGAATTCGGCTGAATGATATACGTGAAATCTTTAAGATGTTCTGTCCGTAAACCCGTCGCTGATAAATTTTCTGCAGTGCTCCTCCACCTCCTCTTCAAGCCGGGACGTTTACACGTGGGGTTGTGACCATGCGATGTGACATCTCGACATGTTCTTCCGCTCACATATCACTGCTAGTCTCTGGTAGTGCCCAGACCTGTTTCAGTGACCAGGCAAGTGAACCTTAAAAATACTTGGTTTTATAGTTTTGTCATGTGCAATGAGGATTCTTATTCTCTTCTTTTGTAAACCTCAGCTATTGGAAAATCACATAAAACACGAGTTGGTTGAGAAGAGTCAACTAGTCAACTCAGTGGTGAACCTGGATGAAACAAAGCCGCCTTGCCCTGAGCCTCGGAGATCAGCCTCTATAGCCTGTGGTGCGAGCGTGTTTGAAGTTTCGATGAAAGTGCCAGCATGGGCTTTGCAGGTTAATAAAATCCTTGATTCAGTACTCTCCTTTCTCCTCAATGTTCCTAAATTGATTATGCTCTGACTTCTGATCATTTTATCTAAAATATCACATAGAACTTGTTGCCATGTTTGCCCATTTCATAGAACTCTCCTTTCTCCTAATTTTCTTTCTTATTGTTTGCTCAGTTTCTAAGACACGTATGATAAAGTTATGCTAAAAAAGGTTTGCTTCCGGTTGTTGCAGGTATTAAGACAGATAGCGCCTGATGCGTCTTACCGGAGCTTAGTTATCCTCGGAGTAGCTAGCATTCAAGGGTTGTCTGTTGCTTCCTTTGAAAAAGAAGATGCAGAACGTTTACTTTTCTTTTGCACAAGACAGAGAAATGATACTTTGGATCATTCTCTTCTAACAACGGTTCCTCAGTGGTTAGTGTCTCCTTTACCGAGCAGAAAAAGACCCGAGCCAGGCAGAGGAAGTAAGGTAGGGGTCAGTGTTTTTTCTCTATGAAGTTCGGGGGTACTGCTAACTGAAGCCGATGTATATTTTGTTTAGGATTTTTATACCATCTGTTATTTATGAAAAAAGTTACGGGGAAGAAGTTTTCTAGCTCCGTTTGCCCAAAATTAGTCATGTTATCCCCTAGATAGTGCCATTAACTGTAATCTAACCTATCCAGGAAGTGGAAAATGGAGGAGGATCTACGGGAAGTAAAATCAACGTTGCTGCAATGAGACCGATACCTCACACTCGTCGGCATAAAATGATTCCCTTCTCCGGGTATTCTGAAGTTGGAAGATTTGATGGTAGTGACCAAGCCAAAGCTAATTTGCCTTCGATACCTCCAAAGCATGGTGCATCGGGTGGCACTCCGCTTTCACATCGTAAAGCATTTTCGGGTTCTTACCAGAAAAAGCAAATTATTTCTTTAAACCCATTACCTTTGAAGAAACACGATTGTGGCAGAGCCCCGATTCAGATTTGCCCAGAGGTTAGTGAGTAGTCTTCTGATGATGATAGTTTGAAAAGTTTCAGCCTTTAACATTGTTTATATTCGGTCAAAGCTGATATCTTTTCTCGGGATATTGTTTTGGAAACTCGGGCAGGAGGAATTTTTGAGAGATGTGATGCAGTTCCTCCTTATCCGGGGTCATACACGGCTTGTTCCTCAAGGTGGAATAGCTGAGTTCCCGGATGCTGTTCTCAATTCCAAAAGGCTTGATCTTTTTAACTTGTACAGAGAGGTGGGTATTTTAAAAACAGAGATCTGAACAAGGTTTTGGTTTATATCACTTCTTTTGAGAAATTCGGATAAGTTATTAGAATGAGTTTTTTTTTGCAGGTTGTATCGCGAGGAGGCTTCCACGTTGGGAACGGGATCAATTGGAAAGGACAGGTTTTCTCGAAGATGCGTAACCACACGCTAACAAACAGAATGACTGTATGATTGATCTGTACTCATCTTCTTATCAGTTCTTGTTTTTTTTTTCCCGAATCTGGCAAATATGAGATGACTGACCTACCTTCATTCATTTTTTTCGCACCCACAAACTTTATTGATCTTTGTTTGACATGTTTGGTTATATGGCAGGGGGTGGGGAATACGCTGAAGAGACACTACGAAACGTACCTCCTGGAGTACGAGTACGCTCATGACGATGTAGATGGAGAATGCTGCTTGATCTGTCGCAGGTCGGTCTCTCTCTCTCCCTATATCTTGATCTCGATCTCGATCTGTCGCTAAGAAAGACGCAATTTGAAGCAGTAGCACGGCGGGTGACTGGGTGAACTGTGGAGCGTGCGGAGAGTGGGCCCATTTCGGATGTGACAGAAGGCCTGGCCTCGGCGCCTTTAAGGTAACAGCAATATCTCATTCATGAAACCCGTAAAGAAAGAACGAAACTGCCGAGAGATATTTAAATGTGAAACGACGCTCGGGGGTGATGACAGGATTACGCGAAAACGGACGGGTTGGAGTACGTTTGTCCCAGCTGCAGCGTCACTCATTTCAGGAAGAAAGCTCACAGGACCTCTTCAAATGGGTTGGCATTGAGCTAAGTGACTTAGGTTACCTTATCTTTATCTCTGTTTTGTTTAGATTTGGCATTAGGCAAGAATTTGTGGTATGATTCATGTGACAATGCAGGAGCTTTTCTTCTTCTTTTTAATTTGGGAATGTAAATCTCTTTGTCTGTCTTCGATACCGCAAACCGCTCT